AGAGAGAGAGAGAGAGAGAGAGAGAGAGAGAGAGAGAGAGAGAGAGAGAGAGAGAGAGAGAGAGAGAGAGAGAGAGAGAGAGTGTGTGTGTGTGTGTGTGTGTGTGTGTGTGTGTGTGTTTGGGTTTGGGGTGGGGTGGGGTAGGGGAAATTTAATAGTCTCATGACGTCAAGGCTCGAAGCGTCCTATGCAGAAAGGTAGAGCATACTACGGTGGAATAAGACAAGCCATAAGCAAATATCTGTCGTTGCATTCAGTCCATTCTAGACTCCACAACACAACCTCATCTTCTCCTAAAATAAAAGGATTAATTAACTTAAACTCAGAAGCAAAGAATAAATAAATAAATAAATAAATAAATAAATAAATAAAGAAAGAAAGAAAGAAAGAAAGAAAGAAAGAAAGAACTACCATCCAGTCAAAGGAACAAATGGAGACACACACCCCCTCCCACGGATTTAAATCCGACACCCCCTCCCCCTAACTACAACTACAACCACAAAAACAACAACAACCAAAACTAACTTTGAAATAGTGCTGGGTTTTCCCCTTACCGGCTTGAGAAGCTTCCACAGTCTTTTGTAGTTGCTCTGTGGGAAATGCCAATACGTCATTGTGAGGCAGTGTGGTGAAATCAGGCGCTCGTCAAAATAACGAAAGTCAAGATTTTGGCTTTTTCCCGCAAGTTAGGGAATTTTTATCGAACTTTTGTTTTTTAGTTCAGCACCTTCCATGTCCAATAAAGAGCACATTTCTGTGTGGATTTTAGTGAAAAACGTTGATTAAAGGCAGAAGAAATGATCACATTTTCAGTTTCCCCGGACTCTCGAGCTAAAGAAATGACTCAACTTTGGCGGCCATTTTCTCGCCGATTTTTATCTCTGAAACCAGATGACCCTCACCTCCTTCAATCACACATATCTCGACTTCTATTCATCATAGATGGATATTATTTTCACCCGAAATAAGGAAAATGGGCAGGCCTTAAGATGATACCATCAACTCCGTATGCCCCAAAATTGACGAGAGCCTGATTCCAGCGCGTCGTGCCACTCATGTACTATAGTACTAGTAATACAGCTAGGCCTATTATGCACGATTTTTAGGGTTACTTTTTGTGTTTGCATGAGAACAATGCCTTTGTAGCTACAAAGTGGGTGGTTGGAGGGAGCTCTGGTGTGGTTTGCTTCTTCTTTCCTATCAAACATCTATCATCCTGATCTCCCCTCCTTCTTTTTTCTGTTTGCTACTCTCTTGTAACACTTCTATTCTTCGACACTTATATGACCTTATTGTGTTGCAAGTGCCGTAAAACCTCTACTAAAACAGTAGTTACAAAATATAGGTTATCAGACGATTTTGTTCGTGAGGGGCAAATACTAAATAGCCTAAAGGTTACATGACATAAGCTGCTGAGTAAACTACATGTAATTTCGGATTGTGATTGTTGTAATGCCAATAAGGGATGAGGCAATCGCCCAGGGCTTGGATTTTCCGAAATTGGAGTGCGTGGCCAAGGACAGACGAGCGTGGTGTTGACTGTTTATGTACCTGACGATATATGGAGAGAGTAAGTAAGTAAGTAAGTAAGTAAGTAAGTAAGTAAGTAAGTAAGTAAGTAAGTAAGTAAGTAAGTAAGTAAGTAAGTAAGTAGAGAATGGAAATACGTGAGAGTGGGCGATCTAGGATACTGTAGTACGTCTATGGTAAAGTGAAGCTTTAAGGAATTCAATTCTCAGCACGTTACCTCAGAGTTACAAAGTTCTATCTGCTCAGCACCCAGTTTTGGGAAATTGGACGTCACAATTTCAAAGTTCCAAAATATTATGTCAAGCTTTTTCGAAGGCAATTCTTTGAATATCTTGATAAAGCTACTGAATATGTTTACGACTTTGATAGAACAGATAGAACATTGGTGAGGCAGCGTGGTGGAATCAGGCTCTCGTCAAAATAATCAAAGTGAACAAACTTGCATTTTTCCGCAGGTTTGTTAGTTTTTATCATTTTTTTTTTGGCTCAACACCTTTCATGCCCATTAAAAAACTCATTTCTGTGTGGATTTTTCTAAAAAAACATTGATTGAAGGCACACAAAATGTAAATTTTCAGTTACCACGGACTCTTAAGCTAAGGAAATGACTAATCTTTGATGGCCATTTTCTCACTAATTTTACCTCTGAAAACAAGTGACCCCCACCTCCTTCATTCGCAAATATCTTGACTTGTATTCAAGATAAATGGGTATTTTTTCATCCAAATAAACACAAGTGATAAAGCTTGAAGATGATACCATTAACTCTACCTGACCAAAAATAGACGAGAGCCTGATTCCACCACGCTGCCTCACAGTCATTTTAATATTTGCTTTTTGACCTCACGGTCTTAGTGGCTCAAAACGGCCAAAAATGTCAGAGAGAACTTTGTAATACTGAAGTAGTGAACAAATCTTCCTGTCTCCCCTCCCACGTTGAGGGTAACGCTTTTCACAGGACGCCTCAACTCAGCTTTGTTAACCACATCATCATCAGGTTGAATTGCATACCATCATGTTGGCAACTGAACGAACATTTTGAATGAATATATTATATATATATATAAGCCTATTATTTTTGTGGTGCCGAAGCTGCGGAAAGTTTCCGACGTGTAAAAATACTTAGTACCTCACACCGGCAATACTACGGCTACCCAAATATACGGCGCAATTCTTTATTTTCATAACGAGATAAGGAT